CCCCCCCCCCCCCCCCCCCCCCCCCACAAAAGTTCAAATGATCAACTGTATGGTCAGTAAAAGATAGTGTTTAAGAATTTCACAGAAATGGAGGAAATCTTGCCGCAACCGAAAAGGATATTAATACTCTTTTCTGTAGTGTGCCTGTAATTTGTAAATACCATGATAAAATGCTTTTAAACAAATATCAACATCTAAGAATGAATCAAGTTGGAAGAGTCATATTACAGTCAGGACCTTAAAAAACTATGTGCACCTATTTATGGCAATTGTTCAGTCATTAGCTGCAAAGCTTAAATAGAGGATCCCTCAATTTATGAGGCTATGTAACTAAAGTTCTAAACTACACTAGTTTTTATTAGTTCACTGTTAAGGTGTTACTACTGAACCTACTTGGACAGCGACATTAAAACTATTTTCAAAATTTCCACTCAGTGTAGACAAAAGACAAAAGGCTTATGAAATCATTTAACCGAGATCGTCCTGGGACTTCAATACATGCCACTAGACTCTACACCACCCTAAGAGTAGGTCTAAGAGTCAACTCCGGTAATTGCTAATTATTCAGATTCGCGAAATCACTCCTGAGGCCAAATGAACAAGTATACAAAGCATTACTTCCAGATTAATGGTACTGGAGTTAACTAGTCAGCTCACATATTAAGAGATCTTAAAATGTATTCAACAAACTGTAACAAAAGATCCAAAGGTGCTCACACAGTATTATTTAAGAATTCTTTTTTTCCTGATAGCAGTTGGACAATACATTTCAGGGGATATTATTAATTTAACCAAGCAGCTTAAGTTGATGACCTGCCTGACGAAATATAGTACCAAACTGGCGCATTAGCTCTTGCATTCTCTTTGCAGCAGCAGCCTCTCTGCGTGATGCATCCTGTTGTAGCTTCTTCATACTCGGAACATGTTTCTCCTTATCTTTATCAATCAAAATGGGGGCATTTCTAGATGTGCTTGGTTGCTTTATTTCAGGAGTCGAGTAAAATTGCTCAACTTCATTCACTCTATGCTCAAGCTGCAAATCGAAAAGAAATCATAAAACTTTCAATTAAGTTCTGGAAATACCATCAAATGAAAGTTGCAACATGCAACAGGCTATGCATTGCACAACTAAGGATTCACCAATATAACAATGACATTTATTAGATGATTTCAAATGCCAGATCTTCAAAGACCTAATGTGAATACATAATGATGTGAAAACAATCAAGTGCTTACTTTGTCAACTTTTGTGATTATCTCATCCACTCTACCCTTGAAATCTTCCACTTTGGCAGAAGTACCTTCCATCTCTCCTTGCTTTATGTTCGTAACATCCATACTTGGTTGATTTACTTTGTCCATCAGTATTGCTAATGTTAAAAAAATAAAATAAAATAGCCACAAAGCTGCCAGCTAGGTTAGACAACAGGAGATAGAAGGAAGAAATCTATTTAAAGATCATACAACAAAAGAAGCAGGTGATTAAGAAACACATCCCAACAGAAACTCTTTGTTAAAAAATTAAATGTAACTCTCATACTAGCCTTTTTTACCATTTTTTTTCCCGAAAAGGGAGGTGTCTAATATTTATAACTCACGTGTCCTCGATTTGTAGCCTAAAATTCATTCCGCGATTAGGAGTAGCTCTTATACAGGAATCAGAAACAGTATCAGTTACCATAAAATTAGTTTCAAATGGGACAACAATCTAGCATTACAGAATTAGAAACATCCGTCACAGCCAGAAAAATTATGCCAATTAAATTGACAATTGGAATTCGCGTTATATATGGAGTAAATAGGTTATTCTACTTTTTAATTTTATCAGATGAAAACCCTAATAAGGAAAATTCAATTTTCACATGCACACCCATTCCGCTTTACATATTTTTTGCAATTATGCTAAGCTGAATTACTCGTAAAAAGAACAGAGAGACCTGTACGGAAATATATATATTTTTTCTTTTATGAATTTAGAAATGTATACAGCAAGTGAGGTACGTACCAGTAGTCGGAACGGTGGGGATGGCGGCCGGAGAGTGGAGACTTCGGTGGCGGAAGAAAATGGCAGTGCCAGTTCTCTCCCAAGCATTTAATTTGTTGGTAAATTACGGGCACCGATCCCTACCTTTGAGCCTTGCAATCTTACTCCCACGGGGATAAATCACCTCATTGTGATCATGTCACTTAAATCTGATTTTATTTTAATCACTGTAATTTGATTTTGTTTTGCAACATGACCACGCAACTTATTTTATTCATTTTCATTAATTTTAAAAGATGTAAAGTTTAGTCAATTTCATTAATTTTAAAAGAGATAAAGTTGTAATTGCATTTGTAAGAAAATGATTCCTTAAAGTCCGTCTCTTGATTCCTCAAACAATCATAATTGTTGTTGAACTGGAGCCTCATTTCTGGTTGTTTTGCAACTGATTTTGATTGGAATTTTCAACTATATGGAGTCTTAGTTAGTTAGGTAGTTAATAACAATTTTTGATACATCTTTGTGCCTATAAATACTTGTATTAGATCTAAAGAAACGGGGCAACTCGGGAATGAAAAGTAAGAGAAAGTGAGATTAGGAAGAGTGGTAAAACTCTTATAAATTTGGGTAAAAATCTTTCTGATGATTTCTAGTTTGTAAATCATGTTTAGTCTTAGTAAATAAAGACTGAGCAAGATCATTCTTCCTCTTTTAAATCTGTCATGTGTTCTTTTCTTCCTACTGGTTTTATTTCTTGCTGGTTTAATTTGTTCTCTGTTTCTGCTGCTTCTTCTACTGGTTCATTTTTTCTGCTGGTGCAACTTGTACATTCATTAATTCTGTATTAATCTCAAACATAAAGGAAGTGCTCAGCCCCAACAACATTATATATACAAAGAGTGTTTGATACACATTAAAATGGAAAGAATTCATTTTTTTTTGTGATGTGATGTGATGTTGAATATGTGATTGAAAAATAATCAAAAGTTATTGATGTAATGAAAAATATTATTTTTTTGAAAAATATGTGGTTGAAAATGAGTAGGAAAATGAAAATGAGAGTGTTGCTCAAATAGAGGCAAAATAAATTTAGAAAAAAGAAAAATAAAAGTTTTTCTTATGATTTTAAAAATATTTTTTAAATAACTTTTTATTTTACTTTATTTTATTAAGTCACTTTTTTTAAATAATTTTTTATTTATTTTAAAAATAAATTTTTATTTTATTTTATTTTATTTTTTAAAGTAATTTTTTTAAAATAAGTTTTATTTTATTTTATTTTTAATTTATTTTACATATATAATGCAAAGTTACTGTTTTACCCATTTTAAAAACAGTAAAAATGGTAAAAAGAAGTTGGGTGGCCATGATGAAACGTTATATGAAATTAGGTTGCCTAGTGAAACATTATATGAAATTAGGTAGTCATGGTGAAATAAAATCAAATTGAGTGGTAAAAACAATACTAATTATAAAGACGGGTGATTATGGTGAAATAAAATCAAATTAGAAGATCATGATGACACTATATATAAAGCTATGTGGCTATTGGTAGATTTAACCCTACTCCCATACGTTTTTAAAAATATTTTATGGATGCCATTGTTCTGCATTTATAAAATAAATCGATATGTTGAACATGTTATTCCTGTATTTGGCTTCTATTTTCTAAAATTTATTTTTTTCTAAAATTCATTATCAATCACATGTTATTTGTAATCCACGTCTTTTATTAATTTTTCTACTATATATTTTATCAACTTTTATCAATATCCACTAAAAAATTAATTTTTGTTATCTAAACCAAGTAGGGACGGTATGAATGTCATAAAATAGCTCATTGTCCATTTGTGTTGCATCGATAGAAAACTATTTAAACTATTATATTTGTTGAGAAAGTGACAATAGAACACAATTGTTTAATTACTTATTTTTAGTACATGACATGCATATACTATTTAATTGAACTTGTCACAACTTCATAAAATAATAATAATAATAATAATAACAACAATAATAATAATAATAATGATGGAAAGTAATGTTATTGTATTATCATGTTCTACTGATCTATTGAAGGCTCCAAAAAAATCAATATTATGTAACATTGAGGGACAAATTTTACTATTTCAAGTAATTTGTTCTCCACCAAATTAAGAATGGATCTACAAAGCCCCTAGTTGGTCCCTATTTTTTTTTTTTTTTGTTCAAAACTAATTTTTAACCCCATTTCATTAACTTTTATGAATATCTACTAAAAAAAATATTCTAACTAAATTAAACTTGTGCAAGGTTTCCAAAATATATGTCATCGTCGGTATCATATCAATATTAGTACAATTAGGTACATATTATATATTGGATCAGGAGTTCAATTATTGAATATTTTACTATTTACTATAACATGTTAGACTATCCCAAGTCAACTATGATGCAAATAATACTAAAAATATCGATGTAATGAATTGTCTCACATAACTGGTCTAGACCAACGCATGTAGGTGAAGTTCGTAGTTTCTTGGGAGTAGCCGGTAATTTTCGAAGATTCATTAAGGGATTCTCTAAAATAGCTGGGCCAATGACCCAACTAACCAGGAAGAGCGTACAATTTCAATGGACTGAGAAGTGTGAGGAGAGTTTTCAAGAATTGAAACATAAATTGGTTACAGCTCCAGTTTTAGTTATATCAGAGGGTTCAAATGGATTTGTTATATAAGTGATGCATTCAAATAGGGTTTGGGATGTGTACTGATGCAGTTTAGGAAGGTGATCGCATACGCCTCAGGACAATTAAAGCAACATAAGAAAAACTACCCTATGTATGATCTTGAGTTGGCGGTGGTAGTACATTCTCTAAAAATATGATGTCACTACAAGAAAAATGGGCTTTTGCAACACGTAAACGGCAACATTTGTTGTTTAAATATTGCTAAAAGTGTCTATTGCAACAATTTAACAAGTGAGTGTTGCAATTGGTAAATATAATTGAGTTTTGGCAACATTTTTAAGTGAATATTGCTAATGTCGTCTTTTTGCAACGGTTATTAAGTGTTGCAAAAAGTTATATTTTTTGCAATGTTTTTAAAACGTTGCGTAAAGTTAAACATTTTGTAGCATTTTAAAAACGTTGCAAAAGGTGAATTTTTGTAGCATTTAAAAAAATTAAACAATTATTGTTTTTAATTATTATTATTATTATTATTATTTTTTTTTTTTACAATTAGCAACCCACCCACCAAACCCTAACCTAATTTCTTCCCTTTCTTCATTCCATTTCATCCGATTCTCCACCTTCCCTCCCTAACTCAATACTCTACTCAGCCAAAAAAATCTATGCCTCAGCTCCTCCTTCCCTTCCCGACTTCGCTCAATACCGGAGTTCTCAACAATTCTTCGGCTGCGACAGCAGCAAAAGGTGAATCCCCGATTCCCCGAGAAGTTGAACACTTACGAGTGAGTTTTTGTTTCTTCAGCATATTTTTTCTTCAATAATTTCTCCGAATTTATAATTACTAATTTAATAAGTGAAATCAATTACTAATTTAAAGGGAAATTGGGATTTGGGAAAGTTTCTGAAGTTTCTAGGATTTAGGCCAATAAGTCTTCGTTTGAGATTATGATTTTATTAGGATATGTATCTTGTGGAAATCACTACTACCTAAATTGGGGATAAATCTTCGATAGCCGTCCAATTAGTTATGCACCAGACCTGTTGTTCTCAATAGTTTACAGTTCTGCATTTTCTTATTTTGCAATAAACATAGCACATTTTTCAATAATTAGGTGGTGTTAAAGATTTAAGCTATATACTGATGTAGTGATGTTGCTATCCAATGTGTTTCTCTTCCATTGTCTTATGATTCATGTCTTTTAAAAAAATTAAAACTCCGAAACTATTATCTTTAGTAGTGGAGAAATGAAGTTAATGATTTTTTTAATTTTATTTTTTGGAAATGATATTTCAGAGACATTGTATTTCATTCTCTGTCAACCAAGTTGGTAGAGTTTCTGTTCCGAACTTGAATAAGAAAATGCATCATAAACATAGATTTTCAATAAGCATCATTTTTCAATCGATTCCCAACATGTAATTTAACGCATTAGATTATTAGTAATTTTACAGAGCTAGGGGAATCAGTTCTATGTTTTCCCATTCTTTTATCTTCTTAGTTCTTTTATTGGTAACTGCTTTATATTCTGTCTGATTTCATTTTCTATCTATAGGTCATCTTCAGAATCAAGTGACATCACTAATTAATTCTATAAAATGGACAAATCTGAGGTAATTGTGTTTTCTTATATTATGTAAGATATGTGTTAAAGT